CGGGAGCAGAGCTCGGCTCAGCGCGGGGGACGGGCTGGGAGCCGCCCCGGGGCGTCCCGCTTGGAACCGCGGAGCGGGGATTTCGAGCGGTTGGCAGGGTGAGTGTCCCTGTAGACTGGCTCGCTCCCCACAGCCTGTTCCGGTAGTGGCGGATGGGCAGGGAGAGGTGTTGGGGTTTTCCTCCTCATCTGGCAGCCCTGGTTCAGAGCTGCAGGTGGGGACTGCACATGGAGGCCAGGTTGTTCATCCCGCTGGCATATATACTTCAAGTACGTGCCTTCAGCCCTGATTAGCCTCTTGTGAAGGTTTTATTGACTTTGTTTTAATGACTGTGCCACACACATGAGGAAATTCTTAACAGAAAGATCAGTACCTGAGCAGTCTAGGGTTTAGGTCAGTGTAAAAAGTTGCATAAAGTGCTGCCAGTTTCACAGAAACAAAACATGATAAGTCGAAGGAATTTCAGTCACCTTCTCAAAGCTTTTATTTTTTGTTTTACCCAATTTCACCTTTCCTCATCACAGTAAATCTGACCTCTCCCTCTTGCCTCAAGGCTTGTCAGTACAAGCTGGGCCCTCGTACCAAGAGAATGTGTTGGGGCACGTTAGTCCTTTAGTTTTGTTGTAACTACACCAGGGTAGAGAATTTTTTTTTTTAATCTGAAATTTTGATCATCAGTGTGGTGTTGCAAGGTACCGTGCTCTCCCCACAGCGCACAGCCTGTGCGGAGATGGAGCTCTTGCCCACAGCCAGCATGGCTCTCCCACAGCAAAGCGGAGCCCTAGCCTTGGAAGGTGATGGACCAGCTATTCAGGTTCCCAGCTCTGGTTTCAAAGTGTTTTGTCCTATTCAGTGATAGTTTCCAAATGGTTGAGATTGGTGAAAGCTGAGCCCCGAGATTGAATTCTGACTTCAGCAAAACTTACATTTAACTCTGAAAGGGCCAGAGAGTGTGGATTTAGTTTTCAAGAGTAGGATGAAAGTAAGAAAGCTGAAATGGAGCTTCTTTGAAGTTCGACCTCCTGTTTATTCTGCTGGGGTGCGATAGCATCTAGAAAATAAACATAAACTGTTTAGCTGAGGGCTTTTTCCTCTCAACTATGGCTCTGCTTGTCTTCTTTTTGCATGAGATAACAATGAATGTGGAAGGGCAGGCTCTGTGGTATCTTCCTGTTGGCTTGTGCTATATATGCATGCAGTCCTGACAGAGCCGGCATGAGCCTTCTCAGCAGTGTTAGTAAAATCAAATGCTGTACTTCTGAGATGAAGGGCTGTGTTTGAGCTACAGCAGAAAGCCTTGGAGGCCTGCTGGGCCTGTCTGGGTGGAGTGAGGACTTCTGCTGAAGAAGGCCAGGTAGTACTTACCTTGAAGGCAAAGAAAGCACCAGCCCAGCCTTCTAGGGCTGTGGTGTTGTCAGACAGATCCTGTGAAAACTACTAGAGAAATCTCTACTTTGTCTAGACATGGTCTTAACTCATGCGGTGATTGTAAGTTCTGTTGCTTTGGGAAATACAGAGAGGCAAAGCACTAACAGGAGTCAACCACAGAAAGAGAAATACCTCAAGAAAGGGAAGGAGGGCATGGAGGAAGCACGGAGGAAATATATTTGAAGATGTAACCTGTTTCCTGCCCAAAGCCTTGTTGAGAAGTATATCAAGGTATGCTTGTTCTATCATAAATACATGGAAGGAGAGAGTTAATAAGCTGTTTAAATCCATAAACATATGGGTGACATCAATGAAAGTGACTTGCATTTGCCTATGACTCTTGAATGAGTGCTAGGAAGCCACCTCATTTGTAGAAGGTCTAGAGCTGATTGTTCACCCTTTGGAAAGTGATCATTTGGTGTATTATGTCATCCTGCAGGTAAAAGGAGACAGAAAAGAAGATGGACTGGGGAAGTCTTCAGGCTGTTTTAGGAGGTGTAAATAAACACTCCACCAGCATTGGGAAGATATGGCTCACAGTCCTGTTCATCTTCCGTATCATGATCCTGGTTGTGGCTGCAGAGAGAGTCTGGGGAGATGAACAACAGGATTTTGTTTGCAATACACTTCAGCCTGGGTGCAGAAATGTTTGCTATGATCACTTTTTCCCCATCTCTCACATCAGACTCTGGGCCCTGCAGCTGATCTTTGTTTCCACACCTGCGCTGCTGGTGGCCATGCATGTAGCTTACACCAGGCACGAGAAGAAAAGGCGATTCAGAAATGGTGAGAAAATTGATATTGAAGAGCTGAAAAATGAAAAGATTCATATTCGCGGCCCCCTGTGGTGGACATACACCAGCAGCATCTTCTTCAGGATCATCTTTGAAGCAGTCTTCATGTACGTGTTCTATTACATGTACGATGGGTACCAGATGCCTCGCCTGGTGAAGTGCAGTGCATGGCCCTGCCCCAACATAGTGGATTGTTTTGTGTCTCGGCCCACTGAGAAAACCACATTTACTATTTTCATGCTTGCTGTGTCTGCGATCTGCATGATGTTGAATCTGGCTGAGTTGTGTTATCTAGTGATAAAAATTTGCATGAAAGAATCCAGGAAAACAACAGTTTTAAAATAATTCCCCAGTTACAGAATTTCCTAGCTCTCCATTTCCCTCAAACTTTCTTAGGTGTCAGAAAACAATCAGCAATATTTTTATACACAAGAAAAAGGATAAAAACATTCATATTTTATAAATGATAGCCCCCCTGGGAAGCTGCCACTGAGGCAGGTTTTAAAGATGAAAAGCTAATTCAGTATTCCTGCATTCACGAATAGCCTTTTGGCAGCAGTTTTTCCAAGTATGCCTACTGCTGGGATTCTTTGTTGGGACAGAGTCACTATTCAAAAAGTGGGAGTGGAAAGGCCCAGAGGAGTGTCTAGTGCCTGAAGGAGAGCCAAGAGTCACAAACACGGTGTCAGCTTGAGGCAAGCCAATAATGGAGGGGTTTGGTCAAAAGTGGGGTGAAGGGTTTTTGGGGAAACTTACAGTTTATGAAAAGAAAGAAAATGGGGAGGTGATTGTGTTTATAGCAGCTGTCCCATTGTCTCCCTAAGTATTCTGGAGAGCAAGGAAAGGGCCAAGGAACACAGGTACTCTGTGATAATGCATGTTATCAGCCCTGCTGAGCACCAGCAGTGATTTTTATCTTTTTGTCTCCTCCCCTACACTGAGGAGCATCTCTTACAGGATTGGGGGTGGCCAGTCTCAGCTGCTTGTGAATGTCATTAGGCCAGTGCTGCCTCCCTCCACTCACAGGGGCTGCAGCAGTGGGAGGAATGAAGTTTGCTTTTTCATTCTCTTGGTCTGGTGAATAAAAGGATTGTTGCCTTTGTGAAGGTGGTGGAACTGCAACCATCTTCCTCCTTCTCTTGTTCTCTCACAGTGTTTTGTGAAGAATCTCAGTACAGTAGATTTTATTTGATTAAGAGACTTTTTACAATCTGTGCCTCCTTCAGCTGTGTACCTTTAAAATCTTTTTTTCAGTAAAAGCCAAGAAAAATTGCCTTGTTTCATTATGTTATCCAAAAGAAGTGCTTTAACTTACAGCGATATGCAGTAGACTGCACCTACCAGTGCTCTTTCTGTCAGTCCCTTTCCCCTATCCAACCTGCACAGACTTTCTTCATAAAACCTTCTCCCTACCTATCTGAGGTGCCTTTCAAGTGAGTCACAGAATCATCAAGGTTGGAAAAGACCTTGAAGATCATCTAGTACAACCATTAACCTAACATTGACAGTTCTCAACAGGGCATCAAACCACTCCCAGTCTCTCTGACGTTCCACATTGTATGGCTGACTCACCCTTCCTCTTCTTACGGTAGGGCTAGCAGGAATTACAGACAGCTTTGCAGAGCTAAAATAGCAAAGGAACCCAATCAGAAATGAGGAGAAACTTGATATTTTTCTTAAAGTTCACATTGCTGACCTGTGAATTGTGTATCACTAACTAGAATGTGAGTCTGTCTGGTCTTGTCTCTCCAAAGCAGCCTCAAAACATGTTTTATGCTTGTCGTAGGCAGCTACACCAGCACACACAGTAACACAGTTTAGCTCCCAAGTGCCTGCCCGTTGAACCCACTTCTAGAAATCTGACTATTTCTCCTCCTTAGCTTTAATAACCAGCTTTTCCTCAAAATGAATGAGCACTATCTCAGTTTCTCTATTTGCATCCATCTCTTCCTGTACATTTAAGTTTAGCACTGTTGGAGTAAACAAAGCTGCATGAATTAAGGCCCATGACCCCTCACTGTGCACTGGAAGCAGAGCATAAGCAGGTTCCCATTGCTGGTGAGCTACATTCAGTGTTACAATTTGGCTGCAGGTGGAAATCATCTAAGAGGTGAGCAAGAAAACTGTAAAGCCACCATGCTCAGAAGCATGAACAAAAATATGTAAAATCATTAATAATGAGCTAAACTGGAAACTTTGACTGTGAAAACATCCTTAATACAACTCTAAAGAACAAAGGTTGGCACATACCAGGTTTGTGCTTGGTAAAGTTCCTGCATTGTTCCGTGTACAAGTACGAAGAGAACAAACTATGCTCCCAGTGCTTTAGTACTACATTTATTTTGTAATAACAGAATTTAAATTTTTGTTCTATAATTAAAGCACTCTTGTGGTGTCTGTTTTCTGTGTTACTTGTACATGCCATGTATTGTCTAATGAAAATTATCTTTACCATAATGGAAAACGTATGCACCAATACTACATTTAATAGCCAGGGGCTACTGTAAGGATTTTAGCCTGCTGCTGCAGGTTGTTTTTGCAATTGGTTACATTGTGTGTTACTCTGCAGACTTCATGAGCTGATAGTGAAGGTCAGATACGTGATCCCTGCTAGAAATCACATGTGCTGCCTAAGTCGGCCTTGTACTAGCAGAACTGCAGCTGGAAAAGGCTGGTGATAAATAACCACCTTCACGGGGAGAGATTGTTTTCCCAGTCTGTCTTTGAGTTTAACTGGAACTTGGAATAACACACACCAAAACTGGTGACACTAACACTGTGAGGTTATCTATAAATAGCAGTTTGGCAACCAGATTATCATAAAGGGAAAAAAGATAGAAATAGGAAAAGTGTCTGGAAGTGGCCAAGAGGGGACTGTGATCCAGAACTGCAGCATCAGGCTGTAATAGCTCTATCATGACATATTTACTGTCTCTGAGATTAATTTTCTGTGTATGTTAAATTTGGCTAAATAGCTACTTTGTATGGAAAAAAGTTCAGATACTTCATAGGAATTTAGGAATTACACCTATTGCTGCTTGTGCTGCATTGCATGGCTGACCTCCTGCAAATGGATTTCATACAGATTAAAATACAGTGCTGTGTTGGAGCTGTGTGTGTTCGCTCCTGAGGTATACTAGAAGTGTCTACATTTCTGGCACTTGGTTCCTAGGCTCTCCTCAGAATGAAGATCACAACAGTGTTGAAAACAGAAGTAGCAAATCTGAAGTCATGACTGTAAAAGAGGCTGATCCTCACTGTCCAGCGTAGCCAGGATATAAAGTGTCAATGTGGTATCAGAACTGGGATGGGAAGTGAAGTGGGACTGGCTAGAATTATACCGTGATTGAAATCACCAGGAGAAATCACCATTGACTTCACAAGCTAAACTTTCATCCAAAACCTTGAAACCAAAACTACAAACATGTTAGAAAGGGGGAGAGGGGAGGGGAAGGACACTTCACTATTAACCCATAGATGGAGCTAGAGAAAAAAACCTCTAACTCCCATGGGAGAAAGAGTGATTTAAAAGGAGATCAGGAGTATAAATCTGTATATATGACTTCTGGATATAGAAGTACCTTTATTAAAGGTTTTCTTAGACAAAGAAGAAAATCCCTCAAATGTTTTACAGTTATCATGAGCCAATGCACTGTGTTATTTCCTATCTGACAACAAGAATATAAAAGACAAATTATATGGTCCAAACAGAGAAGAGCACTCCTGTGCCATGGAGGCTGAATTCAAAATAACAGCACTGTTAAAAGTTGCTTTATTTTTTTAAAAAGTGTACAGCAACAAACAAGCAACAGCTAAGAGCACTTTACTACAAACTGGATTTGGTGAAAATGAATCTCTTCCCTAACCATAATTCTCTCCCCTTCAATTTACACTAATGTGTTTTACCAGGCAACAAAATCATAGTCAAAGAATTGCACTGGTTTTTGTGGTCACCTGTTCTGATATTTAGGACAGCCACTACCCGAGGTGTTAATTACAGGTTCCTTTGGATTTTTCACCATTTTATTATCTATACAATCATTTGAACCTGTTTGTAGACAGTGGCAAGAGCAATGGTAACTATCTGAGGCTTAATGAGCTAAGACTAATGGTAATGATCTTCAAGATCGTTCAGGAGATACATATACTTTTTTCTCCATCTGACTAACCCAGCTTGTTGTAATTTTCTTTTACAGAATATACTTCTCTTCTGTAAAGCTGGCCCATCTCTGACCTGGGTATTTTCTCTGTAAGCCTTCCTAGCCAGCAAAAAAAGTCTACTTGCTTAAGCAAGGTGTATTTTTTCTGTTGTCTTGGCAATTATGGTAATATAGACTTGTCAGCTGGGAAAGACAACAGCAGTCTTAAAATGTTTGAGTTGGGATCATGAAATTTGGTTTAAAAGTGTTTTGCAGATCATCTTCTGAGGTTCAGTCTTTAGGCCAACATATAAAAATTTCTCCCACACCTATATGTGATCCACACATTAGCAGAAATGCTGCACTTTCTTTTAATTGGGTGACTGGAAAACTTGCTGTTTGGTATCCAACTATTAATATTTCTTTCATCACAAGACTTCTTTCACCTGATTTGAAAGTATTACAGCAGTCCTAGTACAGAGCCAACTTTGAATCTCACGGTTTCTCAGTTTCCCCAACTGAAAGTTAAAGGTGACAACTGTGTCATATTCACAGGGAGAAGAAGACTTTAATCTAGCCTTGTTTGTTAAGATCATTGCAACAAGTGCCAGAAAAAATATTTTATAATTATTGTGTGGCAAAGATTTAAAACCTATTGTATGTTGCATCATTAGTGTAATGTCTGCTATGGTTAATCAGTCCCTCCTCTAGCTGTTGCATCCTTTCCAAGGACTGTGTGTTTAAAATATAATTTAAATAGCTTCCACAATCTCTCCAGCACAAATAAACAAAAACAATCTATACGCTTAACCACACTCATGTGCACACAGAGGAACAACTGACTAAATCATTATGTCACTGTTATCTGATAGAAGACTGAGACATTGCAACATGGATTTGTCAGAAATAATTTCTGCCTATGCCATGATAAAAGCTTTTGTGTATAGCAGTAAAATAGTTATTAATGACTCATTGTCAGAGTGTAAGGATCCACCAAATGGGATAAACTGTATATAGCTGGGAGGAGCTGCAGGTACATGGGAAGATAGGCTTAGAATTCAGTAAGATCTTTATCACCAGGAGAAGTGATTTTAACAAAAGCAGTTTGAGAAGTTAGGAAGGACTAAATACTACTATTGTGAAACACTAAGCACTTGCAGAATTGCATTATAAGATGGAGGCCTGTTCTGAAGCAAAGAACACTTTTGTAGAGAATTGCTGGAGCTTTTAGTAGATCATAAGTGGAACATGTGTCGATAACATTGTTGACTTGGAAAAATATCATACTGGTATACATTAAAAGTTTGCCAGAAATAGGATGTTTGAAATGTTTCCACCTGTTTTATCACCTGAAAGACATTATCTAGGCCCTACTTCGTGGCACCCTTTGCCCCAAAAGCCCCTTTATCAGCTGGAGAAATCCAGGAGTTAGGAATAATGTATGACCAAATGTCTAAAAAACAGGAGCTGTGAGGAAAGCCTGAAATAAATTAGTTGGCCTGCAAAAGTCTGAGGAAACACCCAACAGCACTCTTCAAATATGTAAAGGATTGTGGCAAATAAGATGATGATGCTCTTTACATCCACTGGCAACAGGACAAGAAGTAAGGCTTACGTTGCAATGGGATGTAGTCTAGTCACTGCAAAACCTCTCTGTGAAGAGGGCTTGGATGACAGACATTCCATCACCGAAGATTGTTAAATGTAACCTCAGTTCAACATCTGTTGAGGATAGTCTAGGTACAGGACTCTGCTCTATGACAGAGGGAACTTTTAAAATCTGTAATGAAGGGGACTTCAACTGAAAGTCAGTTGTACAGGTTCCTTTTGCTGAGCCAAGGCTCAGCTGCTGAATCAAAATCTTTTTTATATAAATTCAAGTCTACTTGTCAGTGTAGGGTCTGTCCAGTATGATCTTCGTCAGCATCGTTCCTTTGTGCTTGTAGCAATTGTAGTAATACATTCTTGTGCTATAATAAATTCCACCTGACAAAACAGATGAGGTGGCATTTTGAGTAAATAAAATTATAATTAATATAAATGAAGTTGGTGATGGAATTATTTTTTTTTTCTTCTCATAACAGTGCATAAAAAGCTCCTTCTGCCATAGTTCTGTGTCCCACAAAATAGGTATTCCTCCCAACCGGAGGAAGACTGAAACCCAGATCAATTTTCAGTTTTGCTGCCCAGCTGATTATATATGTGAACATTGATGGAGTTCATTGAAGCCAGGTCTGTGTCCAGGAGAAGTTTCACAGCAATAGCCATTTTGTGTTACTGATTTCTCTCATTTCAAAGGCAGGCTATCACATGCAGCAGTCCGAACTTTGTAGATAAATTTTCTTATACATGAGCTTGGTTTTCTATTTCTGAGCAAGATATCTATTACTGTTCCTTTCCATGAAAGGCATTCAGTATTTAAGGCCTTTACAAATTCATTGTGCATGTTAGCAAGGTATATTCCTGATAAAACATACTGTATTTGTTTTATCCTGAATACAATGAAAAAGAACATCCTTGTTTAAAAGCTTTGGTTGTGGTTTGGCACTGCAGTACCAGTTTAGGGCATTAACACTGATGTCATCCCTTCCTGCTCATACTTATCCTGTCTGTGTCTCTCTCCCACCCCATTCAACACAGTGCCTCCACCCCAGGACCTTTACCGTGTCAGCACAGTTGTTTGCACCACTGTGCTCAGCACTGGATTGGCTGACTGTTGTAGCTGATGAAGAAATAAATGTTTTGCTTTGGTGCATAGTTTTTTAGCTGGATCAATTCCTTGATCTAGCTTACAGTGAGGCCACATTAACTTCTATGCTGACGTGACTGTGGGGCGGTAGGCCATGTTGTTGGGCAAGAAGAGCTGCAGGGAGTGAGCAGAAGGGGTGGAAGGAATGGCAACATGTTTATTTGCTGCTACACACACTGCAATTTCAAACCACAGCCTCTGGCTGTATTTTTGTAAGTGACTACTACTAGAAAGGCGAAAGTCTTACAGCCTTTTGCCTCTTTAGCTGCCGTACCCTTCCCTGCTCTCTACTGTCTACTGGCCCTGTTTCTCATCTACTGGCCATCTCTCCCTTGCTCCAGCACAACCTCACCTCAACCTTTGTATGAGTTGATTTAACTCACTAACTCAGCAGAGAACTATTTGAACACTGCATTTTGATTTGTTTTAAGCTCAGTTAGCTTTCTGCCAGGCTTGTGTCAGGCATGAATATATTTAAAATATCAGTATTTTTACTTCTTCATATTTCTGCCAGTAGTGTGGAAAAAAAAAAGCATCACATCATGACAGAATGATAAAAGGCACCATTCCTCTCAGGGTTCTGCATGTCCTGTGTCTCTCTCTTTTTTTTTTTTTTCTTCCTCCTAACAGATACTGGGCTTGTATAGTTAGAGTTCTTCCTCTGCTACATGAAGCTTTTGCTTCCGTGAAGATGACCTGAAAGCATTACACTGCTACATATCCCAGAACAGCCTGATTTTTATGTTGTAGTAGGAAACTTCTCACAGTTTCCAAAGAAATTTTGGGAGGAAACCTGTTCTGGTGTGAGTAAAACACCAGCCTTAGAGTTTCAGTGCCATTCTCAGAACCGTATAACCTACGAGTCATTAAGTCTTCCTATGCCTCCTTTCCTACCAACTAGAAGTCACAATAACTCTTCCTACAAACTAGAAATAAGTTCTTATTTGTTAATATGCTGTGTTCTCTGACATGCTTGTCAGTAGTGTCTAACAGAACAGAACACTAATCACTAATTGGTACAAGAATAATAATTATGATATGAGATTAAATTTTGGTCTTTTTATTACCATTTTATTAGCTAAATAGTTTTAAAGTCTTTCGATTTATACATGCAGAAAACTGGAGGAGATTTTAATCCTCCTTGCTTCAAACTGTGCCTCCTGAGGTAGCAGTAGCCTTTCCCAGCATTTAAATACCTTTAGTGCCATCTTCTGTAGCACAGCGGCATGTCAAGCGCACGGACCGCAGTTTAGGGGTCCTTCCACTAAGCTGTGTTTGGAGGCACAGTTACGTTAAGAGTGATCCTCTTCTGTACTTCAAAATAGATACTTAAATTAGAAATAACATGGGGTAAAACATTGTTTTGGATCAATGGTGATCTGAAAAAGGTCCATTTTTCTTGTTGAGCAGCAGCTCAGGTTCAGCCTAAGATCAAGATCTATCTCTTTAACTTACAAGATCTTTTTATAGTTTTATAAATCTTGGTGTCTATTTTAGATCTTCTTCCTTTGTACTTTGCCATACAAACCTGATTCTTCTGATCTTAAAAATACCTACCTTACTATTCTGTCTTGTACACTTCTTAAATTCACTTTGCTTCTGTGCCAGCCAAATCATATACTGCTAAAGTTCTGCCTACATGTGAAACGGGTTGTCACCTGTGTGGAGGTTTGGACAGAAGAGGAAAAGTGGTACTAAAGAAGATAATTACAGGAAGGCTAAAAATTATGTAAATATGCATTTTAATGTAATGTCACCTTAAGATTTATGTTGCTGTCTAGTGTCTAATGAGAGTGGAGGGAACCCTTTAAACATAATAAGGTTCTAGGGATTTGGAGCACACTGAAGCGGCATCTGGCCACTGGCAGTGCTGTGCACCTTTAAAGATAAGTGACAGCAAGGAAGCTAGCAGGATGGCTCTTTCATGGGAATCTTCTGTCAAAAAGTCCACATGAAGAGACACTTTTAAAATCTGATAATATCTTGCTTCTGAATAAATCCCTCAGGAAGACAAGTCCTGCTTTTTCTGTTTCCCCCCTATTTGGCTTTAGATCCTCCTGTTCTAGTGTGCAGCTTACAAATACATCTCCATACTACCTCAACACACTTTCATGCTTGGGCTTTCACCAGTATATAACTGGTCCTTTATTTTTAGGGCTGCTCCCTTCAAGTTTCCCCTGGGGATTTTGCATCCTTGCCTGTCTCATTTTCTACAAATGTCCCAGAGGGTTTTGTCAACAGTCTGAACCTCTTCTTGTCAGAACCCAGAAGGGAATTCTTGAAAAGGAAACTGTTAGCCAATGGGTGTAGTCCCATGGTAGGTTAGGCACTGCATCATATTATTCCCATTCAAAATGTATTGAATTCTATCTTAAAAACCTTCTGTGGCAGTACTGAAAAGCTACTCTAGAACCTCACTGCTCTCCTGAGTAAGAAGATTTTCCTTACAGAAATGTGTCAAGGCCAGTTTGTACAGATGGTGGGAAATACCACTTGAAACCCTGCAGAGACTGAAAAAGCCATCATGGAAACACTCAGTGCTTCGTGCTATGAAACCTTTTGGACAGATGGTTGGAAGTGAAAGACCTCTCTCTATCCCTCCCAAAAATCAAACCTCCTGCCCTTCAGCTGACCTGATGAGCAGGGGGAGGTCACTGAATGAAGGAAGTTATAATGTCAAGAGTCACTGGGCTGCTGGGATTTCCTCTCATACCCTAACATGCAACCTCATGCTCCACTGCTTCAGGATCCACATTGCGATACTACTGCACTTACAATCATGGCAGCACTGTGTTTCAGATATATCACCCATCTCTGAGTAGAGTCATTTGTCCTTGTGCCACCAGTAGTGCTTAGGACAACAGAGATCTTCTTTCTTAGTGTTTTCAGCTGAAAGACTTACAGGGACCAACCAAGTGTTGCAAGGATACAAGGACATGGGGATGGTCTGGTTCAGTTTGTCACCACTCCCCTGCTACACGCAGTTCCTCAAAGCGTCTCAAAATTTTGCTTGGATGGTATTTTTACTGAATAGAGCAACAGAGAGCCTTGGGAATGACCTGGTGTGGTTTTCGTCTCTCTGACTGTAGAGTAGCTATCAACAGAAACTCCTATGTTAATGCTGAGGAGTTGCTGAGTTTAAGTCATTCTGTCTAATGTTTTTTTCTCAGGGCAACACTGAAGAACACACAAGGGTGATAGTAATATTTCTTTTTTTTTTTTTTTTTAGGATTGATGCTGAAAATATTAAGAGCCACCTTTAAATCATCAGTTTGAAAATAGTTGCAACTGATCTGTTTTTTCAAATGGTCAACATCCTGAGAGCTAATCTTGACTGAGAGGGAGCTGGGGGAAAAAAACTTTTCAAAAAAATTATCCATAATACTTTCTTTTGCTAAAATAGGCTCAGTCCCAGGTATAGACTCTCAAACTTTGAAGACCCAGGCTTGTAATTTATAAAATTTGACAAGTGTATTGAAATACCGCGAGGAGCTGCCGCAATGTTGCCTTCGCTCTGAAAACCCAAGGGTCTGCCTTGACCGAAGGGCAGCAGCCGCCAGCTGTGGAGCAGCCCGGGTCGGCGGCTGGCAGCCCCGGGGGGATCTTCGCACGGGACAGACGGGCAGCAGCAGTGAAGTTTACCTCTTCTCACGGAAAACCCTCCTTCTGTGAAGAACCTGCCGTTTGGGTGCTTGGTTTTTTCTTTTTCAACTTTTGCTCTAAAAACTTTTGCCCCACAGCTCATGGGTGACAGGGGCCCCGCTCCCCGGGGAGGGCGGGCGGCGTCGGCACGGCGCGATGGGACACTGGGCGGCGCTGCCGCACCTGTGAGAGGGGGGTGTGTGACTGGGTGTGTGAGCGTGTGTGTGACCGTGCGTGTGACCGGGTGTGTGTGTGACCAGATGTGTGACCATGTGTGTGACCGTGTGCGTGTGTGTCCGGGTGTGTGAGCGTGTGGGTGTGACCGTGGGTGAGCGTGTGCGTGCAAGTCTGTGAGCATGTGTGTGAGCGTGTGAGCGTGTCTGCGCCAGCGTGTGTGAACAAGTGTGTGCGCGCGTGTGCGTGTCTGTGCCAGTCTGTGAGCGTGTATGCACGTGTGCGCGTCTGTGCGAGTGTGTTTGTGTGTGTGTGTGTGCATGCGCCCGGGCGGTCCCGGCTCGGTCCCGCGTGTTCCCGC